ATCCGAGCAACGGCAACAACCTCGGAAGAAAGTTGGCAGCCTGGAGAACCCCCGCTCCCTGGACGATAGGGGAAGGGAAGAATGTTACTTTATTAGAATGTAATAAACAAACAGCTTCTGGAAGTAACTCCTCTTTGGTTTATTGCCAGAGGCATGTGCGTTCACCAGAAGAGACAGGGAGAGAGAGAGAGGAGCAGAGAGAATACCCGCTGAGGACACAGTCATACCCCAGCCCTGTCTTTGCCATTTCTCCACCCTGCTGGGGTCTTGGGTGTGCTCACACATGTGCCCGGTGTGTTTCTTAAGCCACTGAGGCTGGCACAGGAACCGCAGCTGGCCGTGTGTCCCCCTCTGGTTACCACTAGAGTATGGGCAGACCCCAGCGGTGACTACGATTAAGAGGACAGTGCTCCCTCAGATGTATTTTTTCGGAGACTAACGGAAGAAGAACAGTCATTTCTGTGCATTCTCTCAGAGTTCATTCAGCGTTTGAGTAGAGCCTTGAGACTCCACGCCCAGGAGCAGGTGCTGGGAAGGCTGTGGGGGGTGCTGGGGAGGACTGGAAATGTACCTTTCCTCTGCACTCCCCGAACCCCCCACGAGAGGACCAGGAAGAAGTGTTTCAAGGTTATCAGAAACCTCGACGCTCACCAGGCAGGAGAGTGGATGGAACCAGCTATGTTAAATGAAGAACATGTTTAGTCTATTTGTTCTGCCACTTTGGGGCCATTTTTAACAATGATTTTTTTTTTTTTTTTTAAGAGAGAAACCCCAAGCCCAGGGCCGGCAGGTGATGTGCTGGTTAAGGGCACTGGACTACCATTTGGCCAACCGCGGTTTGAGTCCCAGACCGGGCAGCTTTCTATCTCGCTTCCCCCCACCTCTCTCTCTCTCGCTCTCTCTCTCACTCAGTCCCTTTCTGGTCAAATTAAAACAAATAAATAAATAAGCAGGGGAAGATGGTGGCCAGTGCTCCGCAGCGGGCATGGACTGTGGAGCAAGTGTGGCAGCGAGCTGTTGCCCAAGAAGGACGTTATCAAGTGTCTGCAGGAACAGGGTTCAGATTTGCTTCTTGTAGAGCATAAGTTACTAGGAAACATTAAAAATGTGGCCAAGACAGCTAACAAGGACCATTTGGTTACAGCATATAACCATCTTTCTGAAAGCAAGCATTTCAAGTGTACTGCAAGTCTAAGTATCTGAGCAGTGAAAAATGTGAAAGAAAACAAATTGGAAGAGACTCGTGATGAGGGTTCGCCAAAATACATAAACTCCCTTCTTTAAAAAGGAGATAAAACCAACTTTCCCAGAAAGGGAGCTGTTGTTCACTGCAGGTACACAGGAGCACTACAGGACGGGACTGCTTTTGATACTAATATTGAAGCAAATGTAAAGAAGGAAAAAAGTGCCATGCCTTTAAGTTTTAAGGTTGGAGCAGGCAACGTTATCAGAGGATGGGATGAACACGTTTGACTATGAGTAACGGAGAAAAGGCTCGACAGGAGATGGAGCCAGAATGGGCGTCTGGAAAGAAAGGACAACCTGATGGCAAAATTCCACCAGATGCAAAACTCTTTTTTGAAGTGGAGTTAGTGGATATTGATTGAAGTAGCAGTTCTTCAGATCTAAAGACATCAACAACAATAAAACTCGACCTTGAAGAAACTTATGTAATGACTTAGAGCTTGTTACTATTGTAAGGGAAGACTCAACTGGAAAATTCAAGGAGTTAAAATTTGTTCATAACTTAATCTCAACTTTTGAGACATGTAATCCCTGATAAATCCCTGAAGTCTAAAATATTTTACTATAGCTGTGTAAAATATTGATTGAGATCTGTTTTTCCTTTTACCTCATATTGTAAATTAAAAGGCTCAATAGAAATTTATTTACCGTTGGAACCAGCAGATGGCGTAATGGCTACGTTGCTGGACTCCCACATAGTTGACCGTGGTTTGAGTCCCGGACTCGGTGGCTTAAATCTAGCCGGGCATGTGTGCATGCATGCCCAAGATTCCAAAGAGAAGGGATTGCAGTGTGGCCATTCCTCCTGGGGGATAATTTCTTGCTTTCTGTCTATCTCTGTCTTTGCTATAGTTCACATGTCCTATAGCAAAAACCTTCTCTCCCCCCCAAAAAAGAAATATATTTACTGTCTGGAAAATAAATAAATAAATACATAAATTTAAATAAAATAATTCTTAAAAAAATAATAAAAAAGAAACCCCAGGGCCAGCCCTATAACTCAGTGGCTAAGGGGGCTGGATCTCATATGGCCAACTAGTATTTGAGTCCTGGTCCCATTAGCTTAAAAAGCATGCCAGGCACATGTGTGTGTGTGCCCCAAATCATGATGGGTGGAGAAATGGAGGAAAAAGGATTGTGCTGTGTGATTATGCCCCATTGGGGGATGTTCTCTCTCTCTCTTTCTCCTAGAGTACATGCACCCTCTGGAGGAAACAAAAACAAAACCAAAAACAGACTTCATTCTTATCCAGGTCCCAGGTGAGGGGACAGGAGCAAATCCAGCTGTTGGTTAGAAAGGAGATCTATAGGCCTGAGTGATGCCAGCTTTCCTCCAAACAGGATCTTAAGAGTTGCCTATATTTGCAGACGGTCAGTGGGGAGACAGGAGGCTGAAAGAAGGGGTTTTCTGCTCTGCCTGCCTGCAGCGCTGCCACAGCTCTGCTGCTGGCCTCAGAACTGCTAGCCTGCTATTTCATTAGGACTGTCAGGAATGGTTGTGCAGGTTGTGCATTGCGCAAGCACACACGTTTGTGAGGATGCCAGTCACACAGTAGACACTGTGTGTTTATTCTGATCATTCCACCACACTACTGGCAGTAAATACTCTTCTAACAGACCCAGTGTATTATGACAATTTTCTGACAGATAGGAGTAAAGTGTCTTGAGGAATGAGCGCCTATTGCTATTTCTACAAAGGCATCCTGAAGTCTAATGGCAGCCCTGCTTGGAGGAGATCCATGGAGAGGGAAGCAGATGTGGGTTTAAGAAGGCTACTGACGGGACCAGCAAGTGGCATGGTGGTTAAGGTGCTGGACACTCCTACATGGCTGACCAGGGTTTGAGTCCTGAATCTGGTGGCTTGCTTTCTCACTTCCTCTCTCTCTCACTCTCACCCTCTGTCTCTCTGATCAAACTAAAAAATAAATGAATAAATAAATAAAATAAAATAAATAATAATTTTTAAAAAAGAAAAAAAGAAGGCTACTGACAGACAGGATAGCCACACTTGGCTCTGCCAGGGAGCCAAGGAGGGGTGGTGATGACTGCCATGACAGCAGTGCCAAGGCTACCACAAAAGACCCTCAGGTACTGCAAATGGCCTTGATCTTGCTGCCCAAGCCCAGCGTTTCTTCTGGAGACATCACTGGGCAGGCCTCTGGCACTACTGGCCAGCACTACACTTGGACAGGGCCCACCTCATCTCTGAAAGCTGACCAGCTTGCACACCTCCCTAAGCAGTGGGAAATAGAGGGAAAAGAGAGTAGGAGAGCCTGAACAGCCCCTGGACCCCTGCTCATTACCCCTGAGTACAGCTCTCCAGGCCGCCGCTGCAGGCATCTCATGTCTGTGGAGGGGAGCTGGAATGCATTGGCCTGGGCGGGGCAGAGAGGGTGGGGCCATTGTTCCCCCACTGCCCTCCCCCTTGTACCTAGCAGGTGTTGCAAGCCAAAATCCTCACAGTTTTGTAAGTCGACGGGGTAGAAATGAGACAATGTGGAGTTCTGGGGATTGTGTGTGGCCTCATCTTTCTATATATTCAAGGAAAGTCAGATTCAGATTTTTCTGTGTACCTTTAGATTTTTAAATATTGCCAACTGACTAAAAGCAGCAAGAACCACACTGGGCAGGTCAGATGAAGTATGTCCAGGGGCTGAATTTAGCTGGGGGAGCCAGCAGTTTGCAACCTGACTTCTAGGACTGTGTGACCTTGTAAAGGCAGTCTGCAGGAGGCACAGGCTGTGTCTTCCAGGGGCTCCGGAGAGCAGACCTGTTCTGGGTCTCTACGGGCGTCCAGCCAGCCCCCAGGAAGGAAGGCTTGGTTTGGTTGGGCTCCTGCGGGGCGTCCACAGCAAAGGCTGTCAGAACGTTCTGATGCCCCCCATCCTCCACCTCCCACCCCCAGCCCAGGTTCTTCTTCAACAGAAGTACCAGGAGGCAGCTAAGACTGGGCGGTGGTCAGACGCCCCTCCTGGTTCCCTGTCACTCCCAAGGAGCTGCAAACGGCCTTGAGCTTGCTGCCCAAGCCCAGGGTTTCTTCTGGAAACATCTCTGGGGACAGGCCTTTGGTGCCAAGGGCTGGTTCTTGTCAATTCATAATCCAAGAATGTATACAACCTTGAAAACACAGGTATATAAGCCTGCATTAGATGGGGCCACCGACTCCTTAGGTTAATTACCCACTCTGTGTATGTGTGTATGAAAATACACAGATATACATATATATATGTATGTATATATATATATATATATGTGTGTGTGTGTGTGTGTGTGTATATATATATATATATATATATAGAGAGAGAGAGAGAGAGAGAGAGAGGGAGAGAGAGAGAGTAACTTTCTGGTATGCATTGTATGTTAGTGAGATTGAGCACATTTTCATATTTGTGCCTTTAAAGGACCCCTTCCCTGCCGTTTTGAGGTTGGTTATTGAGCCCACACCTAGCACCCAGGCTTTTTTCCCTCTGCTCCTAAGAGCGCCGTGTTTCTGGCCCAAGCCCCCTACCATCAGGACCGTCTCTGTGTCAGGGTGGCCCCTGAGTCTCACAGAGCAGTGTGGAAGAACCTGCTGGAGGCCGAGACCCAGCTCCTCTGCTGTTCCTGCTCCTGCCCTGCTGGCCAGGCCCACCCCGGAGTGCCTCTTTCCTTGAGAATCAGTACCCAGGGAGCTGATTGGGCACAGCCCTCTGGCAAAGGGCAGGGGTTAACCCAGGGAGGGCAGAAGACTAGCCTAACCACACCTTTTCTCGCAGTGTCCCTGTGAAGGAAGTGCTCCCAGGCATAATGAAGCAGGGAGTTAACTGCTTAGAGTCCCAGGGCCAGAGCCCAGCTGGTGACTTCCTGCTTGGAATGGGGATCTGCAGAGGGTCTGCCAAAAACCCCCCATCTGCCCAGGTAAGCTACTCAGGACCTCAGCCTGGACTGGGAGTGGGAGGGGAGCCAGGCCTTATCTAGAAGTGGGGTGGGGGTTCCCTCTGCTCCATCCCATCCTCTCTACACCCTCTATAGACCCACTCTCCCAAGGGCCCTCACACTCTGCTCCTGCCGCATTCCCGTCTCCTGCCCACCGGTCACACAGGTACCCCTGTGCACCATTTGCTTCCTTTGTGGAGAGAAAAATGCTGCCCGGACAGCCCCAGTTCTCTCCTGGAAGCAGCCGTGGTCAGCTTGCACAACAGGCAGCCGGGCAGCCAGACTCCTCTGCGCACATGGCTGCAACATGGGGGTCTGCACCACAGAACTACAGCGGGTCAGGCAGGCTCAAGGTGCAGTGGTGTGCACTGCTCAAGAGAAGCTGGATTCCACCTGGTGACCACAGTCTGAATCCCTGGCCCGGTCAGCTTGAAACATGCCAGGCATGTGCATGAGTACCCAAGATCCTAGAGGGTGGAGCACTGGAGGAAGAGGGATTGTGGCATGACCAGACCCTGCAGAGGGTGATCTCTTTCTTCTTCTCACACGTACACACATGCGCTCAAGATTAAAGAAAAACAAGTTTTAAAAAACTGAAAAACTGGAACAGGTCATAGAGATACCATTATGGACCTGCTCCTGGCTGCCTTTATCCCATGTCCTGTCTCCCCCGTGTTCTCCCCCAGTCCCCAGGATCCCTTAGTATGTCTTTGAGTGCCCTCTGTCCAGCTGCTGTGAAGCTCCCCAACCCCAGTATTTTATTACCCAAAACTGGAACATATATAAAAATGAAAAGAATGTTACAGTCAGTACCTATACACCTACCTCTAACATCTACAAATATTTGTAGAAAATTCTACAAAAACATACGGTATGTTTGTTTATCGCCCGCCTGCCCATTTATCCACCCACCGCTGTCTCTGTCTTGTAGGCATGGCTGTTCAGCGACCATCTCATCCAGCAGCAGGGGAAGTGCCTGGCTGCTACCTCCACGTTAATGTCCTCCCCCGGGTCCCCGGTCATACTGCAGGTGTGCAACCCAAGAGAAGGCAAGCAGGTAAGACTCCTTGCCCTGGACATAGATGGCCGGCAGCCCTGAGGGACCTGCCATGGGACTGGCAGACACTGGCAAGGGCACCTCAGATTGAGAAGTACAGACTCAGGCCCTCCAGAGTGAGGGTCTTTGGGATTTAACATCAGGTCAAGTCTATTATTTTACTCATATTTTCAGGTCTATCTCTGCTTAATGTTCATCCTGTCAGCCTGTAAGTGCCATAAGGACAGGGACGATTTATCTGTTACCTTTGTACCCCTAGTCCCTGACAGCTCAGATCAGTGTTAGCTTTTACTGAGAGCCCATGCTAGGAGTGTTACATGGTTCATTTCATCGAATCCTGCCAGCCATCTGGGAAGTGGCCCTAGTACTAGCCCTAGTTATAGGTGAGTAAACCGAGGCCCACTGAGTTTAAGGAATTGGGTGGGGCTGATCCGATAGCTGGGAAGGGGCGGAACAGCTCAGGGTGACTCCTAAGCCCACTGTTAACTCAGCACGTAGCAGTCAGTAGTTCTCAGCTGGCTGATGGCAAACTGAGACCCAGTGATTTCCCAGCGCATTACCTTTTCCATTTGTCCCACACTCTCACCCACATGGTCTTCATGAGTCCTGAGAGACAGGCCAGGCCGACCTGATGCTCAGAAAGATGAATCACTTGCCCAGTATATTCAGCAGCCAGCGACAGAGAGGAACTGGAAGCTGGATTTCCAGAGTCAACCCAGATCCCTTCTGTGCTGCTCCTGTACTGGCTGGGAGGACTACCCTGCTGCCTACGGAGAGGGACCCAAAGATCAGACGCTGTTCTAGCCCTGCCTTGCCCACCCTCCTGGGTAACGACTCCCCATGCCTGAGTCTGGCTAGGCTGCAAGGCAGGACTATGAGCGAGGAGGGTTCCTTGATCTTTGATTTGGCCACAGGTTTTCCTCCCACCCCTCTCCTGTTTGCCTGGGTCAGCTCTTTCTTTAGGGATGACTGGCGGTTTGCTGTTCTGCTGGAAAGCCAGGTCCTCTTCCTCCAGCCTGGAGGGCGTGTGTATCGGGAGGTCTGTGTGCTGCAGCCTGCTTGCCGGGCCTGCTGGATATTCCTGAAGCACATCTTAGTTAGGAAGATGCAGCCTGTCCTTTCCACCTCGAGGGTGCCATCTTCTGTCCTGCCCTGCAGGAAGCCAATTTCCCCTTCACATGGAGCTCCTGAACACTGGCCTCTCAGAGGGTAAGGCCTCGAGCCCATGCCCACTCCTGCCTTACGGAGGCCAGTGCCGGGAAGTATCTCCCAGAAGCCTCCACTCAAAGACTTCTCTGGGGCTGAAGCATCCATTTGCTCTTTTACACTAACCTAGGCTGCAGGGCTTGTCGGGATCTCCCTGGTCCCACTCATTCTGCTCCTGCCAGTCATGCCAGGCCCCTGACAGCACTCTGTATACCTGTGTCCCTCCCCTCCAAGGCTGGGTAAGCAACTGTCCTACCACCAATGCCTTCTGGAATCCTGGCCTCCCTTCTTGCTCCCCCTTTGGCCCTGTTTCCAAGGCCAGCTGGGCTTCATGTGTCCCACAGGCCCTTGTGCATTAGACCAAGTGTGACAGAGTCGGCAGGTCCCAGCGCAGTCATCTCCTTCACCACTCTGAGCCTCCGTCTCCTCACTTAGAAAACAAGGGCTCCCTCCCCCTCCCTCACAAGGAATCTGCAATAACTGGGACCAGAGACGAAGAGTACTATGATGTGATCTTGTGTCTCTGGCTAGGCCCAGAACTGAGTAGCCAAGAGAGTCGGGGAGGCCCTGAGATTGTGGCCCTGAGATTGTGTCTGATAGCACTGGTAGGAAGTGAGACTCCTGCAATTTGGGGAGCTCATCTTTTTTTATTTATTTATTTTTTTTTAGATGTTTTTGCTATAGGGCATGTGCGCTCACCAGAAAAACAGACAAGACAGAGACTGAAAATGATAAATCACCCCCCAGGGGCGATGGCCATGCCACAGTCCCTTCTCCATTCTCCTCTCGGGATCGTGGGCACACAAGCACACATGCCCAGCGTGAGTTTAAGCCACCAGGTCCGGGACTCGAACCATGGTCAACTACATGAGAGTCCAGCGACGTAGCCATTATGCCAACTGCTGGTCACTGGAGAACTCATCTTAACAACTGGTGACTCAGGGCCAGCAGCTGGCATAGTGGTTAAGGTGCTGAACTCCCACATGGTCGACTGGTGTTTAAGTCCCAGACCTAGCAACTTGAAAATTGCACCAGGTATGTGCCCAAAATTCCCAGGAGGAGAATGAAGAAGGGATTGTGGCATGTCCATCCCCCCTGGGGGGGGTGATTTCTCCCTCTCCCTCTCATTGTCTCTCTCTGTCTCTTTCTAGCAAGTGCATGCACCCTATGATAGAAACCTAAAAAAACTAAATAGAAACAAACAAAATCTGGTGACTCATTGATTCAGTCGTTCATTATGAAATAAAACTACATTGGGTGCCCACCTTGTGCTGGGAATGTGCAGGTCACATTGGTCACAAGGATGAAAGAAGGACATGGTCCTTGGCCACCTAGGAGCTTACAGTCTACCTGGGGGTGAAAGCAGTCACCCCTAGTTACAGGGGCTGGGTGCTGAGACAGCCCACATTTAAGGTCAGCAAGACCTCCAGGGGAGGACAGCCACACCCTCCCACACCAGGCATTGCTGGAGGCTTGGCCGAGGTGAGGTACCTGTCAGGGCCTAGAAGAGCACAAAACAGTAGGGTGTTGTCAGTCTAGGGCGCACGGCCCTTCCCTCTACCCCTGACTTGCACGCTCTCTGCGAGGGCCAGGTGGGCCCAGAGAGCTAGTTCTCAGCCCTGCCTCTCCAGCCCTGCACTCCTAAGGGGAGCGACTCCCCACCCACACCGTCTTCCTTGTGTGCACAGCTCTGGCCGATGCCCTACCCTGCCCACTCCACACCCCTGCAGCCCTAGCTATGGTCCCACAGCAGGAAAAGACCCATTTCTCTTCCCTTAGTTGCCCCAGTGAGAACATGGTCCCTCCTGCTGCAAGCACTCTGAGCTCTCGTACCTCCTAAGTAGGACAAGGTGGACACAAAGAAAAGGGAGATGGTCGTACGGGAGAATTGGAGAGAATCCAAAATAGACCTCATTTGCTATTTATTCTTCTCTGTACTTTAACAGCCGGGTCTCAGCCTCTCAGCCCTCTCCTAAGTACCCCACACAACACCATCCTCCATCTTGGCTTACAGAAACAGCTCTTCTCTGAGGCCAGGGTGAAGGCACTGGCCCAGGAACCCCTTTATGACTCTATTATTGGGAACCCCAAGTCCCTTTGCCTCCCACTGGCCTTACCCTTCGTCTTTACAAAGATGGCAGCCAGTTCCCTCTGGAAGTGTAGGTAACCAGCTTCATGGTTACAGGCCCCGTTAGAGGCTGAGGACAGCAGGAAGAGGAAACCTTGTCTGCACCTTCTCTTGGGCCAGGACTTACAAACTCAAGTGCCTACAGGGAGCCAGTGGGGAACCCCAACAGGAGAAAAGTTGGGACCAGGTAGGGACTATGGCAACTCGGGAACAAGAGCCCATCTACAGCAGAGAGCAATCTCAGCCACAGCAAACTGATGCCCCATGAGAAATGGGGCCCGATGTCTACAAAGAAGCTAGAAATACAGGTTTGTATGTGGCAACTAATCCACATTTTTTTTTCCTGGAGAGGTTTTTGCTATAGGGCGCGTGCGCTCGCCGGAAAGACAGAGAGAGACAGAGAGACAGAAAGCGAGAAATCACCCCTCAGGGGGGATGGCCACGCCGCAATCCCTTCTCCTCCATTCTCCTCTCGAGATCTTGGGCATGCACACACACGCGTCCGGCATGAGTTTAAGCCACTGGGTCCAGGACTCGAACTGTGGTTGACTACGTGGGAATCCAGCGACATAGCCATTATGCTACCTGCATAAATAGGCAGACACTGTGCAGGTTAAACAAAATACACTCCGGGTCAAATTCAGCCCATAGTCTTCTTTACCTCGTCTGATCTAGACAAGTAACTTCATGCAAACTACAAAAACAAGAGCTCCCTTGGGATGGATGGGGCTTAAAGCTTGTGTGTGGGGCCGAGTGGCAACAGCCTGTCATATAAGGGACACATAGTCTGTTTTGAATGAGGAGGATGTGTCCTGGGTATGCACAGGGTCACCTCCATACATGTGGTGCAAGTATAAACATTATTGTTGCTTTTAAAGTTCACTTTCTCACCTCCCTCCTCCCTTTCTCCCAGAAATGGAGGAGAAAAGGAACTTTCATCCAGCACTCAGTCAGCGGCCTCTGCCTGGAGACAAAACCTGCCCAGCTGGTGACCAGCAAGTGTCAGGCCGATGCCCAGACCCAGCAGTGGCAGCTGCTGCCGCACACATGACGGTAGCCCTGGGGCTCCTGTACCTTTTGCATGAGACTTTGGGACTGGAAGGGGTTAGGGTGGGAGAGTGTGAAGCGGGCCGTGTCCATCTCCTCACATTTCTGCTGGGCTCATCAGCAAACACCCCCGCCATGACACATATTTCTCCAAAGCTTGTTCCAGGGAGGGTGTGGGGGAGCATGCTCTGATGCCCTCTGTGCCATCCTGGCCGTGCCCCGGGAGAGGAGATGGTCAGGGTGCTGGACTGTTGCTGGGCAGAGACTGGGCAGGTGCCTCTGGCCCTTTGTCCTCTCCCTTGGCCCTTCTCGAGGCCCAGACAGTGGTGTGTGGGCCCCCCTTCCCTGTTGCTTGGGGAGGCAAGGACAGATGCCTACACAGAGGCCAGGTTGGGTCATGGGGTCTGCCTGGAGGTACAGGCATGAGCAGAGAGAGTGGGCAGCATGGATGGAGAGGCTGAAGGCCGGGAAGAGAGAAGAGGGTAAGCCTGCAAGGGCTGATACAGACCAGGAAGGTGGTGAGAAGCTCAGTGTCTTGTCTGAGAGAGGCCATGTCTGGGGTGCTTGCTTGGGTATAGAAGGGATGGGACCTTGGAGGCCAAGGAAGGGTCCTTTGCAGAAGAGCATGGATAGAAGAGCAGCACAGCACCGAAGGTGGATCTCTTCCCAGGCCATGTTCCCTCCCACACTTCGCAAGCCCACGGCCTGGGTCCAACACTGTGCCTCCTGAGCCCATGGGTACCCACATTCTTAGCAGATGCTGCAGAGGGTCTATAGGGGCGGACCTGGAGCATAGTTTATTAAATAGACTCTCCTGTTTGACCATGGAGTGTCAGGCTGAGACCTCTCCCTCGGGCCTTAGTGACCTGCGAGGGCCCTTTCTCCCCTGCCCACACTCACTGGGATGACAGGCAGCCACCAGGCACCACTGAGCAGCCTCATCCTTGTCTAGTTTTTGACTCCTGCTTTCTCAAAGGCTGTTGCCTCTGTAAATACAACATCCCAGGTCAGGGCAGTGGTAAAACTGGGGCCTCCTTTCTGGATAACCCTAAGTCATTAGGGTTACGTTGTCCAGGCTCGACCTCGTCCGTATGTGCCACTGCAGGGATTCCCTGGAAGGGCCCCATTGCAGTGGGCTGGGAAGCTGGCTGAGGCTCCTCTTTGAACAGACTCCCAGGTCTATTCTCACAGCCCCTGAGGACCCATCCACCATGCCTACCCTATGGCCCTGGTGGGAACGACTTCTACCAACCCTGTGTTCAGACAGTGTGGTCTCGGGTACAAGACTCTTGGTACCAGGACCTCTGGGGCCTCCTTGCCAAAGCCAACCAGTCTGGGGTAGACACACCTATTTCAAGAGCCCCCAGTCTTTCACAGACCAGGGATCCACACACCCATAGGGAGATCTTGGATTCTACAGGGTGGAGGAATCTCCAAAAATTGTCCCCCAGATATTGCATGTGTGTGCATATATGTATTTCCTGAGGAGAGGGTCCATGGATTTCCCCAACTGCTTACAGTAGTCCCTGATCCCCAAAGGGTCTGAACCTCTGCTCTGGATTGGAGCTACCATCCACCTGGACTGCCATCCCCCAATCTCCTCCCTGCGGTGCCCAAACTGCCATGGCCCTGTTCCCTCCATGCGGCCCTCGGGGTCAGGAGCCATGTTTGTGGCTGGCAGCACCCACGTTGCAGGTCCTCCAGCAATGTCCTCTCACCTCCTGGCTCTCATCAGCGTCTTCTCAGCAGAACTCCTGTGCCTGGACATGTGTACCCCTGGACTCACCAGTATGGGGTCCCTTGTCCACATCCCCCTATCCTCCGTCGTGATGTTTTTATCCACCAACAGACACCTGCGGGCCCCTGATCCTGTTCAACTGAGAAGCCTCCTGCCACAGCTTAGGACAGAACTGGGGCAAGAATGGAGGCCTCTCCTTAAAGGATGGGCTAGAAGGCCTGGGCCATGCTCAGACACGGACCTCGGGGGGACAGGGCATGGACTTCTCTTGTTGAATGTAGGAGGACTGCTACTCAGAGGGCCTCTGAGAGGGCCAGACCAGGACCTGCACTTGTCAGTGGCCCTATGTGGGGACTCAGCCCTATTCGTTTTGCTTTTCCTCTTCTTAACCAAAGCATGTGCCACTAGTTGTCCTTGAGGACCTCGTCTTTATGGAACACACACCTGGAATAAAACCACTTCTTACATGTTCATGTGCACCAGTGCTTTCCTTTCTTCCTCCAGAGCAAGCCCTCCACACCTCTCCCTTGCCTTACAGGGGAAGTTGGGGTCTCCATTGTGCTCAGGTCTGACCCTCTCCTGCACCTTGCTCCTCAGCCTGCATACCCTGTGCTCCCCCTAGAACTCCTGCACTGCTCTAGGGGAACCCACTGCTAGGGCGGGCCTGGGACCAGAACCCAGGAACCCGCTTGGCCAGGCTGAGCCGGGCTCTTGCCTCATTGTGGGACCTACTTGGGGCTTAGTCATGGAAATCAAAGGGCTTCTCCTGAGGAATACAGCCATCCCAAACTCCTCTCCTTCCTCAGGAGCTAGCCCTGCCCCCTCTGAGTGGCCTCTACCACACCAGAAGGCCGTGGTCAAAAGTCAGGCAGGACGCCCTTCCTGGGTAAAATCAGCAAAACAATCCCAGGAACAGTTCTACCAGCCTCGCCTTCCTTGATTGGGTAGCAGATGCTCTGCCTAACGTTTCCATGGAAACCAATGGAAAACCCCCACCATTCCTGTGATCAGAAGCTGAACCTACCCAGGTAAAAATAAACGCTGCTTCAATGCATATGAACTGCCGTGGGCAAGCCAGTGTACCACTCACTGTTCCTGAGGCGGCCATGTCTGCTCCCACCCCACCTGGTCCGGGCTACGAATCCAGGAGTCCCCAGAACTTCTGACCCCCAGACCTGAGAAGCCACAGCAGAGCCCTGACTGGCTGCAGCATGCACAACTTGGCTCCAGCGTCCAGCTAGGTCTGGGCTTAGGAGGCCAGGCACTGCAGAAGACCCTGGCTACTATCACCACCCATCCATCTGCCTGCCCGCCTACCCAGCCTCTGAGGGAGCACAGCCCACTGCCCTCTGCCTTCTCAGGCCTCCCTCCTGCCCAGACGGGACCAACTTTCCACTTCCCATCTAGTTCACTTCCGTCTAGAAGGGCTCAGTGCTGACTTCTTCTGAGTCAGGCTTCCTCCCTCACTCTCCAAACCTACCTCTGGAGAAGCTCATTTTCTTTCTTGCCCTCCTTTTCTCTGGGAGTCAGGCTGTTAACCGTGGGTCAGCCCCTGGAGGAATGGCCAAAGTCCCCAGGCTGGCCATTAACAATGGACTTTATATAACCCGGCTGGAGGTCTACGTGAGGGGCTGCTCTGATGCCAGCCTCCCGGTATCCAGCAGGGAGCCCCAGCCCCAGCCTGCCTTCAGTCTTCACAGAGCTCTCACCCCTGGCCCACTGGAGGCTGCTCCCTATTCTCCGGTGGGAGACATAACCCGGACCACATTAAGGTCCTCCAAGAACTCCAGCACCCCAGGCCTGAGGGGGATGTCAGCCAGCACTGGATGGGTGTGGCCCTCTTCTACCAGAGGAGGAAAGGGAATCTGGAAAGGAGAGGCCAGAGCTCATAAAGTGCAGTTTCTTTCTGACAGTGTCGCAGTGTGTTTGGTATTTGCGTGTCCCCTGCGATGGTCTGAGTCACTCTTCCTCCAGAAGGAGGAGAAGCCCAGGCAGCTTCTCTTGTGATTAAAGGTCCTCACTGCCAGGCACTTGACGCCGAGGCCTGGAAGCTGGCAAAAACCTGCAGATGGAGCCAGCCCAGGGCCTGGGCTCTCTGAGTAGCCCTGCGGGGCTGAGGCTCCGAGGATGGAGGACAGAGGACGGAGGACGGCCCTCTCCTCTTATCTTAGTAAATTCAGCCCTGTGAAGTGCAACCCAGAGTTCACTAGGCGCAGGGACTCCAAGAACCCCGTGGAGTCCATCCCCACTCTGCCACTGGCTGGCCATGTCATCTTGAATAAATTATTTCCTCTCCCAGCCTAGGCTTCCTGACCTGTAAAGGGACGGACTCATAGCCCTGAAGGATTTTTCTGAAGACTGATTTATTTGATGATTGCAAACTATCTGTCCCCTCCTTTTATTAAGACTTATTTAATTTTTTTAAAATTTATTTTAATTTGACCAGAGAGGGAGAGAGAGAGACAGGGGGAAGAGAGAAACAGAGAGAGATGGA